TACTGTACCCCAGTGTTATACAGCGACAGACCCGTCCCCACCGGTACTGTACCCCAGTGTTATACAGCGACAGACCCGTCCCCACCGGTACCGTACCCCAGTGTTATACAGCGACAGACCCGACCCCACCGGTACTGTACCCCAGTGTGATACAGTGACAGACCCGTCCCCACCGGTACTGTACCCCAGTGTTATACAGTGACAGACCCGTCCCCACCGGTACTGTACCCCAGTGTTATACAGCAACAGACCTGTCCCCACTGGTACTGTACCCCAGTGTTACACAGCGACAGACCTGTCCCCACTGGTACTGCACCTCACCATCATACAGCGACAGACCTGTCCCCCACCGGTACTGTACCCCAGTGTTATACAGCGATAGACCTGTCCGCACTGATACTGTACCCCAGTGTTATACAGCGACAGACCCGTCCCCCACCGGTACTGTACCCCAGTGTTATACAGCAACAGACTTGTCCCCACCGGTACTGTACCCCAGTGTTATACAGCGACAGACCTGTCCCCACCAGTACCATACCTCAGTGTTATATGGCGACAGACATGTCCCCCACCGGTACTGTACCCCAGTTTTATATGGGAAGCCAAAAGAGATTTTGTTTCTGATTGGGGCTGGGCGGTTGGGATGTGGGAGGATGTTACCCTAGATGCAAAAAGGCGTTGTGTGCCCCTGGTGTACGAAGGGGCAGGAGATTTCCACTGATTGGGGTAACTGTTTTGCCCTTGCAGAGGCAAATGAGGGGTGGTTCCACCCTGGAGGGTGTTATTTATAAAGTGACAGACCTGTCCCCACCAGTACTGTACGCCAACATCACACACAGTACATGAGTGCAGGGGTTTGAGAGCTGTGTGTTTAGACTGGACGGTGAGTATGTACATCTGGAATTGGAGAGGCAAGGCAAGTTTGTGGCTGGATCTGCCCTATGTGTGAGTGGCAAGGGGTGGATTTACCCTTTACCGAGAAGGTGGGGTTGTCCCTGTCATGGGGTCAGTAGTCTGGGGGGGGCAGGGAGACTGTTTAGCCCTCCATATAGTGGGCAATAGGGTTGAGTAGTTGTCTGGGGTGGATGGTGAGGTCGAAGAGGAAGGGGAGTTTACCCCTCATAGGGCAGTAAGGAAATTACCCCTGGTGTGGGAAAGGATGAATAAAAATTTGCCCCTATGGGAGGGGTGGCGAGGAAAGGTTATTTACCCCTGAATAGTGTGAGGTGGATTTACCCTGATCATGGGGTTTGTTGGGATATTCCCCTGGAGGTGGTGATGGTTGGCCGGGGCGGGGGGTGTTTTAACCCTGGAGAGGAAGGGATGAGACCAGGGCAAGTTTGCTCCTGGAGGCAGAGGGGGAAGGGAAGGGGGAATTTACCCCGGAGGTGTGAGGGAGTTTACCCCCAGAGGGGGAAGGGAAGAGGGATTTTACCCCTGGAGGGTGAGGGGGTGGGGAAGGGGAAGTTTACCCCTTGAGGGACAGTGGGAGGGGAAGTGAGAGTTTACCTCTGGAGGTGTGGGGAGTTTACCTACGGAGGGGGTGTGTGGGGGAGTTTATCCCTGGAGGGAGAGAGGGAGGGGAAGGGGGAGTTTACCTCTGGAGGGCAGTTTACCCCTGTGGGGGGAAAGAGGGAGGGATGTTGTTTTCCCCTGTGGGGGGGGGAGTATTTACCCCTGTAGGGGGCATAAGGGT